ATAACTAGTTGACTATCCAAAATGAATCAAACTCAACTGAGTTTAAACATTTAACTCAACCATAATACTATTTTCACATTTGTCTATGGACATTACATCCGACATTCAAACTATGATGTTTTCAGAGCATATTATTGTTAAAACTATGCTTTATCGTTTAAGATAATCGTCTCCTGACAAATTAAACAAAATAATGGTAATATGAGATCAGTGTATAGGATTGTGATAACCATGAAGAAATTTTAGATTAGAATAGAGCTTTAGTGGCTCTATATCTGAATTCAGTTGGATGTCATCGGGTTATCGAAATATACATGCCACTAGTATGTAATTTTCAACTTAAATCGTGTTAATGAATAACGGAATTAAATAAGTAGAATACGAGAATGGATTTTTGAACACGTATATTCCGTACAATCGTTGGTCGGAAAGCGAAGCAAAACAAAATGATGATCAATGGAGGAGAGTGAACCAACTAAATTTAACTAAGTGTGAATCTGTGTTTATGAATGAATAAAAATAAGTTACAGATATGTAATGAGTAGGTTAAGTAATTAACACACATAAGATCATATAAAAAAACAGTCAGGATTAATAAGAGAACAAGTGACAGGGTAAAAATGTGGCTTGAGAAGAATCAAAAGATTGGTCTGTCCAGAGGCTAGTTTGACCTATGTTGGCCTGAAATGGTACCAGCCTCTACAGATTGACATTCAAACTAATTACAATGTGGATATTATAGTAATTTTATTAGTTGAGATTAGTTGAGTAAATTGAAGCTAGACAATAGTAGAAAACCTGGAAGCACTGGATGGCTGTTTTGTCTTATTGTGGGACTCCTTAGCAGTGAGCATACACAATCCCGTCTCGTGAGATTCTTACCCATGACCTATCAGTCTCGCGCGCGAGCACTTAATCACTAGACCACTGAGCCAGCCGGCATCGAATGCTTTTAATGTTTAACTTCAACTAATCCATGAAATTGAGCGACACATCCACTAATATCTTCAGTGAGTCACTATCTCACAACAGACCCGATTGAACTCCATTTGTCTCTACTTCTCACTAGAACCCTAGGAAATACCTCTAGAAGCCTGTCACTAGTGAGCATATACTGATTAGTATCAGAAGGGATTTTTATGGATATTATAGTAATTTCAATAGTTGATATCATAAGTCAGTTGAACTGTTTTAAACTGTTTAAAAAAATAAACAAAATATGTATTTTTCGTCTACTTCTACAACAAACAAAAAAACTTGTTTCTTTTCGAATAGAGAAATTTGTCTTTATAAACGTTTTTAGTAGACTTTTTCGATATGCAATACAAAATAAATAAATCTGCAAAATAATTATTTCCATGTAAAGCTCTTTACATTTTCTTATCACAAATACTCGGGACTGGATCTTGATAGTTTCTGTTGTCATATGATCATATACAAGAAATTCCATCTGCAAACTGATGATTACGGTGACTTACCGACCTAATCAATAATTTCCTGATATTTGAGGTAACATGTGTTTACTTAAATTGTAAGCAAAAACATCATTAAATTTAGTAGCTACGTGATAAATTGAAGTTAATTAGTTTTTATTTTTGTTCCCTGTTTTCATAATACTAGTCAATAACACCTAATGTGACTATGCTTCTGGAAGTAATCTGACACTACAACCGTTGTTCATACTAATCAGTAATCGGTAGACATACTAACATAGATTTCATCAACCAAACTACCAAGCCTAGAGATTGTAGAAGTATTAAAAGGAACCACTGAATTTGTAAATATTCGCTATCATTTAAACTATAAGTTTTTATTTGTTCACAACCATGACTAATTACATAATCTACACCAGTATGATCTATAAGTCACAGATTCCCTTTACTGGTTTCAATAATTATTTATGTATCCCCATAAATAGAACTACATATTAGAGCAAAGTCTCAGTACTAGTTATATATATATATATATATATATATATATAATTAAAACACCCTTTCGTCATTTACTAAGTGGATATGCAAGAAATCCTTAGTTAACATTTAATTCCTAAACGTTCAAAAGACAACTTCATCGGATTTCGATAAAACATAAACAAATAAATTATTTCACAGGTTGAAATCATGAGTCAGTTGAAGCTAGACCACCACTGAAAACCTGGAAGCACTGGACGGCTATTTCGTCCTAGTATGGGGCTCCTTGGCAGTGCGCATCCACGAACCCGCCCCGCGGGACTCGAACGCGGGACCTACTGGCTTCGCGTGCGAGCACTTAACCACTAGACCACTGAGCCGGCATCCAACGGTGTTAATGTCCAACTTCAACTGACTCATGATTTCAACCTGTGAAATTTCCTAAAATCTCCACAAAACTCATTCTGAAAATAAATGATTTACTGATGAATAACATTCAAAATAAAGCGAAAAGTACAACATTTTCAGAAATAACAAGAATCGCTTATATCATTTCAATGCTTCTCATCAATTCCAAACAACCTAAGGCTATAATTAGTTATACTATTGTAAACATACATTTGCATGCTTTAATCAATAAAGTTGAGTTCAAAACGATACAGATGAAAAACATAAGAAATAATAAGTGAGAAGAAACAACATATTAAACGTAACAGTTAAATTGTCACTATATGGCTGTACAAACTGTTGAATTTATAAAAAAAATATATTTTTTTCTTCTATTCCAATGTTATTTTCCTAGTACTATTTAAACTTATGTTCATTTAATTCAGTTGTTTATTTATCCTGAAGAAGTGGCATACATTAAGTGACGAAATGTAATAATCACAATTTCTCTATTCATTGGTATATAACAAAATAAATTATATTTATTTTTAACTTTCTAGTCAATGTTCAATTTATTTAAAACTATCAAATTCAACCTTGACATGAATATCTATAAATTATTGAGTTTAATTGAAATCATGAACTGATCTATGTAAGACAACCATTGAAAATCGGTCACAAAGTAGTGGATATACAATTTCGATGATTCGCATGCTAATACAAAACGGTCGTCCAGTATTTTCATGTTTTCGATGATTGTTTAACTTAGATTACTTCATGGTTTCAATAATAGATAAGATTATTGAGTATTTATATTGGCAATTATAATATCAAATAAAATAGGGAATGATGGTGAAATAATAATAATAATAAAGAGACTATCCATGGAAAGATTTTTATTAAAGGACCAGTTATCCATACACCTGACTGACAAAATTAAAGTTAATTTCATGAGTGAATGTCAGTGAGATTTTTTAAAATTGACTAATATTATGAAGTAATATGATCATTTTACCATGGAAAGGAGGGTTATGTCACACTTTATTTCTCTATACATAAGTCAAGTCAAAAATGTTTACTGGTAATGGTTTCAGCAAAGTGAAGTAAAAGCGGTGTTCACTGATTTCCAATTATTTTATACACCTTTGTGATATCCCCTTTTGTAACTGATGAGAAGCTTTAAAAAAAACCCAGTGAATTTATCCTATACTGTCAATTTTGTTCTCTTGGCATTATTTTTCATTAAGAGATTAGACAGTATGACATAAATGCTTATTCATGAATCAGTAATCAGAAAATTAAATATTCCTAATAATTTATTTTAAACCTGACATATATAGAGCCATTTTTTGTCTAATTTATCTGTACACTTAAAATAGTTGACTGAGACAGTTGAAAACAAATAATTAGCGTATAAACAAAGATAGTTAGTAGCTAACAGTGTAATCCAGGACTCGCGTCTCATCCTATTTGGGATTCGCCAGTTGGATATACCTACATCTCAAATTTGAAGTTCACTGTGAGACTCGAACTCAGTACCGTTTGCTTCAAACTTCATGGTGTTATCCAATTAGCTATCAAGTTCTGACAGCCACTAGCTTGTGTAACGATGGGGCATTTTAAATTTACTTAGTATTGTTTACTTCAATCTTCCGATTGATGTTTACGACTACTATTGACCAATCTCTTATTGGCATATGTGTCTACTGTGTGTATTGTCTACATATTGTCTTAATTCACAAAAATTATAAGCAAAGATGGATCATGCTTGTGACTTAAGACAATATCGAGATAAACCGTATGCGATACATATATGCCAATAAGTGACTGATCAGTAGTAGCCCTAAACATCAATACCAAGTGAATTTAAATAATTAGATTGAAATGAACTACATTATTTAAAACAATTAGTCCCTTTGATAAATTTCGATAGTGTAATAAGAAGACGATGATTACCAAAATGATGTGATCTATTTCAACAATACATTTCAAACAATCTGATCACATATAATATACTTCTTAAGATATTTTTATATGAAAATTTAAAGGTCAACTAAACAGTTTAAAGGTAAGCCGTCCGTACAAGTATATTATGTGTGATCAGATTGTTCAAAATGTATTGTCAGAAAGGCTTTGTGGAGATTTTATAAATTTCACTGATTGTAATCATGAGTCAATTGAAGCCAGACCATCATGGAAAACTTGGAAGCACTGGACAGCTGGCCGTCTCGTCCTAGTATGGGACTCGTCAGCAGTGCGCATCCACAGTCCCGCACACCGCGAGACTCGAACCCAGAACCTATCAGTCTCGCGCTAAGTGCTTAACCAACTAGACCACTGAGCCAACCGGCATTCAACGGTGTTAATGTCTAATTTCAACCAATCCACGAAATTTCTCAACCGTACATCATTGTCTTCAGTGAGTTGATATCTTACAACAGACCTAGTTGAACTCCACTGGTGCTTCCAGGTTTTCGATGGTGGCCTAGCTTCAATTGACTCATGATTTCAATCAGCAAAATGTATTATGCAAATATATCACATAATTCTAATAAACTTCATCTTCTCATTACATTATCGAAATACATTATCATTACTATCTATTATCATTATAATTAGTAGCATTTATCAGTAGTAAATATAAATGAATAAAATTTATTTTACATCCATAAAACTTATTCCAATACTGACTTCAATACTTACTTGACTTGAATAGGTTAATTAGAAAATAGAATATTTTTATGTTACTTTAAACTATTTTTTTTTTAAAAATTGTTTATTGATCATTATGAAATAAATAATTCCATATTTAATCCGTTAGAAACAGTCATCATTAGGATAGAATCTTTGTTTGTTTGTTTGTTTGTTCGTTTGTGTTTTAATTATTTAATGTTCAATTAATTATGTAATACACTTTTAGTCTCTGTTAGTAATAATTGAGATAGTTTTGCTCAATATAAATAGTCTATGGTGTTAATTGTCTATTTGTCTTGCTTAATATGTGCTTGGTTGTTGTTTTTCTTTTCTTTTTCTCTTTTTTCTTTAAAAAAGAAGAAGAAAACAAGTCAAGTTTTTATTAATTTTACTGTTAAAGATAATTATTTAATGATGTGAATAGTTATCCATAATATAAATAAAGTTGTTATCTTTTCCTATGTCTTTTTACGATTGTGATAGCTAGGTAATACAATAAATGATGATAATAATGTTGATGATGATGATGATGATTATGGTAAGAAGAAGTAATGGCGGTTTGTACTACTTTCAACAGAATTTAATATGTGTGTGTGTGTTTTTATATGTTTATACTAGAGCAACCACACTAAAACTCTGAATAAAAATTTTGTTTAGGTAATGTGGTTTCATTTTATTAAAGATTTGTTGCATAAGTAGTTGTGTTCATATGTCGGTCTAAAAAAGTTATCTTTTAACCTTTTGTTAAGTTGTTCAATTGAATAGTAATGGCTACATTTATCTGTGTATATATATATATGTATAGGTGTGTATACATTTCATGGTGTAATTCCAAACAAGTATGATGTCAAGACTTCACTAATATTATCCCCTAAGAAAAATAAAACAGTATGTACATTTAAAGCTGTTTGTATAGTTATTCATACGTGTGTCACTGTGCCTACACATATAAACACACATACACACATACATACACCCTCACAAAAACACACATCAATGCATATGGAATAAATCAGATTGTCAGTGTATTGTAAACAGGGTTTATGATATGAACAAAAAGGATAGTAATTAAATTGGTCATTTTTAAAAATATTCTCTCGATTGGATTAGAATTAAGATGAAACAATGGTTACAACAACAGAATGAACAAAATATAGATATGATCAAATTTCTCATTTATATCCATATTTTTTCTTCTTTTTTCTTGTTGTATGTGCGGTAAAAACTTTTCATATACAAAACTATATAGAAGAAAATAGAAAAATGATATTAACCCAATCAACTGTATAATATAAAGCTAAAATATTTAAATAAATTAAGGATGATAACTTTCTTCTCCTCAGTGATTATCTTTAAAGTAATTAGTCCCTTTTTTTTCATAAATTTCAATAGAGCAATGAGATGATCAACTCTATCAGTGATTATCATTTCATATAATGAGATAGTACATTCAGTTCATTATAAATGTCTATAATGGAATAATATATGGAATAGATGTTTAGTTCTAGTTCTAAAAATCTCCCACACCTATAATATATCAAGTGATTAGATAGCAAACATATTAGTGTTACTAAGAGTATAATTTCATTATGACACAGTTGTCAATTAACGATCAAAAGATGAAGCTACAAAGGACATTCACGTCAGAACATTTGGAAATCTTGACAACAGTCATCGAGATATCATACAAACGACACAGAGAACAAAGAAGAAACACCTTAAAGAAAAAACTAATCAAGATCTCAAAACCACCCATGGAAGAAAACACAAACAACTGCGTGATCAATCTGTCAAAACAACCACTAATAAATACGGAAGAACACCTACTCCAAAAAAGATTAAACTACAATACAAGCGACGCCTCAAAGCTGGAATTCTTCACAGCACTAGGGTCATCACTCAAAACTTCCGGAATCAATAACGATTTATGTTTTGTCAACTTTAAATGATTTGTGATATGCCTCTATTGTCATCTAGTATCTTCATAAAATAATGAATTGTCTAAGTGTGGATCGTTACGAATGTACAAGTCGATATATAAATTTATTCTGTTAACATTAAATTTATGCTTAAATGATTAGCTTCGAAAATCATTTCAATCAGATTAGGATAATTATCTGCTTAAACATTATGTACCAATCTGTTGGATTAATTTTGACTTATACAATCTGAATAGTTTCATATTTACAAAAAAATACTAGATGGGATTATTATATTCTTCAATTCGATTAAGTCACTAATACAGTCTCCCAGTAGTTTTACCAGTCCGATATACGAGGAGAGAACGGGAAGAATACTTGTGAAACCTTATTGGTGTATCTAAGCAATTACATATATAACTCATACCTATTTGCATCATTCACTGAACTTTTCCAGACAATGACCACGATTGGGTAAATAAGTGATTTATTTATAATAACTCGCCCATAATTACACTATCCACCCACTATATAATTCTGTGACAGTAAGTAGTGTGTACAGTCTAGTCTAGCATATTGATAATGTAATGGTTTCACTTGATTTTACAATTTGATTTGAACGTTATTTAAAGAGACACTAAGTTGCGTAGATGGTGTAAGTATTGGTTACGTTTACACAGGGGATCATTCATCTTTACAATCAATGAAATGAATATAATGTGCTTGAATAAATATCTTACAGTATCGGAGCATCCATTGGGGTAGAACTGATTTATTTTTATTGACATAAGTATAAATCAATCATATCCGAAAACACTCTCGAGTTGAAGATTTTACACTGTCGTGTGGAGGAAAAAAACTTTACATTCTCAAGTCTTCATCATTAAAATACAGCGGATATAGTTATTTATTTTTACAAACTAGTTTCTAAATTTCAATTCAACCACTCTTATGATAATAATAACCACAGTCATACAATGAAGACCTTCCCTAGTGTTGTACAACTATATATACTAAGACTAATTTTGTTTTTTTTAGTAAAAACAAGATGTCTATCCACAAACATATTAATTATGGCCTCGAAAGATTCACCACACATCTTGCTAACTGCCTTCAGCACTCTCCGCAATACAGTAGAGTCTTTTCTCAAAAGCCTGGGAAAGAATAATGGAGAACAGTAAAGAATGATAGGTAATATACAAGAATTGACAAATTGTAAGAGTAAATGACGAGTAATTCCAAGAGCATGCAATCTCTTTATGTAGTAGGTCCGACGGAAAACCTTCGATAACAATAAAACATGAGAAGACCAAGAGAGATCAGAGGAAAAGGTAACACCGAGATAACTGACCTTCGACACTGTGTTTATCAAAGAGTCTGCAATGGCACAAACATTGTGGGATCTCAAAATGGTGTTTAGATTCCGTTCATGTCTCATGCTAAAGTTAACAGCTTGACACTTAGACGGATTAAGTATAAGACCATTACCAACAGACCAGCAATCAATACCAGACAAAACTCATTCATTTCTATGGGATGTAAAGAGGAAGAGATAGGCATACATACAGTGAGATCATCCGCATATTTCACAAAAGTGTTTTCGGTGGAAGATCAAATATCTAGTCTGGAAATTTACATAATTTATTTGTAGGGTAATATTACGTAATTTGTTTCGACTTTATTTCAATGGTGTTAATATATTTATAATTTTAATTAGTTTTAATTTATTACAGACCTATTACAAATAGCATATTACGCAAATGTAAACCCTGTTCCTTCGAAATAAAATGATTACTCACTAAGGAATAAATAAATATTATATTTGTCTATTCTTTAGATCTGATCAAATTTTATCGATTACATAACAATGAAATCTTCATATAAAAAATTTATTATTAATACCAACATAATGAACTAAATAAATAACTGGATTCTATTAATTAGTCAAGTGTAAAGTGAATAAACTGACAAATAAACGTAATCCGGTTAGGGTTTTGTAGAGATTCTGGTAATTTAATAGTTGAATTCATGAGTCAATTGAAGCATTTGCGCGCGAGACCAATAGGTTTTAGGTTTAAATCTAGTAAGGTTAGATCGCGAATGTACATTATTGAGGAGTCCTACACTAAGATAATATAGCCGTTCAGTGCTTCCAGGTTTTCTATGGTGATCTAGCTTCAACTGATTTGTGAATTCAACTATTAAATGAATATAATCATGTATAGATTTTAACTATTTAATTCATATTGACTATCTACTACTTATTGATTAATAAGTAGAAATATTTCATTTTTATAGATGAAGAATTACTGATTGAATAATTTGATGGTGAGGTATTGTTTGGCTAATTAATAATGTATTATAGATCCAGGAGCTCCTGCTGATTATATTCAATTACCTAACAATACAATGATTAATGCGTTTTTAATAACAATCTTTTTTTAATCAATACTTTATTCATGTCGAATCGCTATGGTAACAAGTCGACTAGAATATTTTGTACTTTTTTTCTAATTATAATGTACATATCATGGAGGTAGAAAAAATAATAACATTAGGTGACTGAAGATAGAATGTAAGTACTTAATTGATAGTATAGTGATGTCTACTACATGTGCTGATAATTGTATCTATTTTCTTTTTTATATGTAGACAATCAATTATTTACTTTGCATTTACACAAACAACACTATTCAATATTCTAGAAAATTAACTACCCAGGGCATATTATTGCATTTTTTTAACTATCATAATGAATACTTTATTTGTTAAATTTCACCATCTGGATATTTATATTAAAGTATATGTAGTTTGTAGTGATTTAAAGCTGATTTCCACCAAAGACTGGTATTAATTAAAGAAGAACTAAAAACGAGGATTATTTGTTTAACTTTAGTTTGGAGCTGCGTAGCAGTGTACAGTGATAACTGTAAATTAGATTAAACCTACATCATCACAAGTATAACACTAATTCAGATATTAGATGAATGTATAAACACTGACTTCTTAGTCGTTTTCTATTTCTCTTCTCCCTAGAAATCTACTACTCTTCGAATTTGAACAAGATATGGTTGGAGGTGTAGTATAATCCTTGTATCGCAGATTAGTTTACACTTAACTAACATGTATATCTGACGCCGAGACTTAAGAAACCCTTTGAAATGGGTGTTAACATTGATAACAAAATCAATAATCATGCGATCCGGAATTGAAAATATAATCGATTGTTATTTATAAATTACTCGTGAATTTCAAAATAATACTAGTTAGTCGAAGTAATTTTTTTTAGAGTTTTTCAGGCTTCACAAAATATTTTAAAGGAATTATGGATACCTTTTAACAACTTGGTTTCTTCAATTAAACTTAGTATAAATTCACTTCAGATCTAGTCAATATTAAGTATACCATTAATATACATTTAGATGATCTATAATGAAGAAAAAATCAATTGGATGGAAAATTTCTTTAGTAACGGATCCATCTTCGAATAAATTATTTAGTTGGTTCCTTATCATTAATAAATAAACTGTCAATGAAAATTCGCTTTGTTTTTTTGTGTAGTTTAAATCAAAAGTCGATAATTAAAATCAATAGGATGAAACGGTCGTCTAGCGCCTCTAGGTTTTCAATGGTAATCGGTTCATGATCTCAGTCAAAAACTTAATAATCTCCACAACCCCATACTGATAATCACCATGTACTCACTAGTGACTAGCTTCATCAGGGATTCCTCAGAGTTCTAATGAGAAGCCATGACTAGTTGACCTACTCCATGTCAGGTAGAAACAGGTATCTACCTCAGTACAATGGAAGATGATCGCGAAATTTTGTGGATT